ACCTAGATTTACCATATTTCAACATGGAAGTGTGAGCTTCGGCTCACACCAAATGACCAATAGGATCACAAACTATTGAAGGTTGCACCTCTGTCCAGGACGGAGCAGCCCAAGAAGATAAAATGTATTGTAAGAACTTAATTCGGGGTCAGTGGCTGGAACTCCTGCAGGAGCTCTATCTCTCTGATCCCAGCGCTGTAAGGTCTTCACTTCTTCTTCCAACAAAAGAATTGGGTTAATTTCTAACAAGTTTAAGGATTTCCTTGAATATAATTTTCTAGGCAGTTGTGCATTCATGTGAGCTTACCTGATATTCATCGGTGCCCCACCCTGTTATGTATATTTTCAATAAGTCTTATTCCTATTCCTAGCAGCTTCATCAAGCTCCTCTCACACAATAACTTTTGCTTCTTCCAAAGCTAGTGTCCACCACCACAATGGCGGTTTATCACCAACCTTTGTGTCATCTCTCTCCCTCAGCATGTAACCAAGTATGTCTTCAATGCACCTGGTAGGCATCCCAGTGCCATGATTAAGTTAGCAGATGACACCAAGGTGATCAGATCAGCATCCTGTCCTCTAGGAGGTGTTAGAGGAGCCTCTGTTCCAAGAGCAGCAGATCTGCAGCTGCTCTGTTTAATTCATCAATTCCTCTTTTCTTTTGAGAACATACTCAAGAGATGCACGCCACCCAGCTCACTCTCTGCTCAGACACAAAAACTGCACCTAGAGCCTCAGGCACTCCTTACCTGACTCCAAAGGAGAGCTGCACAAGAATTCCTATATGCCTAGATTGTCTGTTTATGCATAAATGGCAAATAAAAATCTTGACTTGACTTGACTTTCTCTTGATAACAATGATTAAATTAAACAACATTGGCAACAATCTACATGATGGCTCATACAGCAAATACTGAGCAACAGCTTTAAAACATCACATGAGGGAACGTGTTTAGGAAAAAGGTGAAACTATTCTGGATGCTCATGGTAGCAGTTTATGTTGGTTTTTATTGAGAATAACTTGTCACCCATCTTTATTTGACATAAGAAACATACCGCCCCCTCTCTGAAGAGTACAAGAAGTACAAGAAGAGCAGCACCAGGTATTGACCAGGAGAGATCACTTAAACTGACTTGGAAGTACATTAAGAGCTAAATGAAAGTATTCATATCAATTAGACTTCCTCTCAGGACTGTGCAGGAGCGCCTTCACTCCCATGGTAATGTTATGTACCTGCTAGGGAAGACATTTTACATGATTATTATTGTTATAGACTCATTATCCAGAGTATTTGAAAACACTTGTGTTTACAGCCTTTACTTGCAAGGAAAGACAAAAAAAATATTCCAATTCAAGTTAGGCACTCACTAGATTATTTAAGTATGTTAGGTATTTTTAGTCAGATAGATATTGGTCAGATACTTGTTGTATTAGAAATGTTTAGAGTAAACAGGATGTCTAGTTAGGCAGTCTCATGAATGCTGCAGGATGCTTATGGTCAAGGATAACTAGATAGAAAAGTTTTACTGTCAGCAGAATGAAAGTTTAATATTATTATGATGATGTGTATAACTGTAGCCATAGCCATAATATTTTCTTATGTTTAATGTCATGACATGCCACTAGAGGTCATGTTAGAATGTTTTTAGCTACACACCACAATCAACAGACACACACACATTGATTTTCTTCATGTTTTGACTATCGCCATGGCCAGCTGCAAAGCTGGCACCGGGACACGTCACGGTTTGGTGTTCCTGTTAGTATGGGGCTAGCCCAACCTAAGTGATAAATGTATAGGCCTGTTGGGTTCAGGGTCTTTCATCTTACATCTGCCTGCGTGCATGTTAGAGGTGCAAAATACCTTAGCGTGTAATGTTAACTTTTACCTGTGTTCATTGAATAAATCAGCACTGTTTTGAAGTTACTTGGACTGCTTCATCTCTCAGAGTTAGCATGGTTAAAAGAATCTGAATGCTACAAGTAGAAGTACTAAAGTAATATCTGAAAAAGTTAGTCCTTACTGTTATGTGCTATATTGTTACATACAATACAATTACAGTATAACAATATAATCATGCACAGCAGAGCACTGACATAGACCTTGCATTGTCTCTTCACAGGAAATGCAATAGAATGTGCATGTAGAAAGGATGTTAGTGGATTGCAGCACAGATGTGCAAACACACCACAACTTGAACACTTTTTCCCATATGTAAAAGTCAAACTATGATCTCTTTTGGGTGTATTTATCCCAGTTTAGACATTATTGTAATGCAGAAGCTAGGGTCTGATGTGAACTAAATTAATTCAGGCAAATCATCCCAGTTCAAATAATGATTTAATATTACAATAATCTTGAACAGGTTAATAAGTTATGAGACACCCCAGCAATCTGGTAGATAGGGAATAGAGAACAGAATCACTCCTCCTGCAATAGAACAGATAAAGTATTAAATAAGGAGATTGTCACAGAGTCAGTCAGTCATGTTTGGCCCTAGAGTCAGTCAGTCCAGAGTGCTGAGTCCTCTCCCGGCCAGGTTCTGCCTGTTCGTCTGTCCTCCCCGAACACACACATTCTACTGCAGCATCATCCTTCTTTTTTCCTAACCCACAGCTATCCTAACTTTATCTTCTCCCGGTTACACCTCCTGTGCACTCCCCTCCTTCTGAGAATTGTCTGAGATGTCCAGTTAATGAACTTCTAGGTTGCACTGACCTAGCGCCCATTTCCTTTTCTAAACATGAACAGAGCACACGAACAGTTCACATAAGGCCAAAGTTATGTCCATTTCCCATTTAAGGAAGGCTTCTCTCTGGATGTTTACCCATAAATTAAACAAGGAGGACACAAGCCAAGATATTCTAGCTTGAGCAAGAGAAGAGAAGAGAAACAGATATCTCCAAACTTATATAAACACTTAGCTCACCCTTACATGACTACTACAAATAATATCTATATATGAACTACACACTATTCTATTACATATTACCTCTGGACTGGTACCTTGTTTGTTTTTGACCACTACAGTAATACAACTTCTCCAATAAGTCCAATAAGTGATTTTATGTTAAAACTGGGTCATATGCAATGAAGCATAATATAGGCTAAACATCAACAACACAAGACTGTAAACTAGATTTTGACAGAGCTCTCCTACAAGTCACCGCCACAATATTAGATAATAATGTATGAAATAAATACATTTGGAAACCAGAATAAACCCAACTTTAGCCAAGGAAACAATGTTAGGACCTGTTTCCCTACGGATTGCTTTCTAGTTACACGAAACCTGAGCCTATGAGTGTAATCTGCAAGCCATGGTTACCACGGTAACAGTGCTCGTCTCCGTCCGAGGAAGTTTGTCATGCCTGAAAAAGAACCATGAATGTATTATTAAATAATATACATCCATGAGATGAGCATAGGTTTTGTAGAACAGCAAATCTAAGATGTAGCAATACAGAAGCAAACGAGTTGCATACTGAAACGGAGTTCATTTTTAGCTTCAGTAAACGTTAGCTAAATGGAGCCGGAGCGCATGGAGGGCAAAACGATGTGTCCTCACAACGTTAATCAGAACACCAGTGTCAACGATAGAGGAATGCTTCTCACGGTAACGACTTTTAGTAATATTTTATCAGTGTTTCACAGTATAATGTTATAGGCCCAAAGATTAACTTAAAAATCTAACATGGAGCTTGGTAGGGAATTAACCAATTATCCTTTGTTCAAACTGAAGCTCAGTAATATGTTTAAAGTCCGTTATTTAAAGCAACACAATTGATCTGTTAGTAAAATATTTATGCAGGTCAACAGCTGCAAGCTGCACCTTACAACTGTAAAATTAGGGCTACCGGAGAGAGCCCAGAGGATGGTGAGTCATGAGGAACACACTAAATGATAAGCTTATGAAGTTAAATACTTACTCCAGTGTGCGCTTCACTGTTTATCACGTTCCTGTTTTACAGACTGACTCTCAAGAGCCTGTTTCTAACATGACTACCACCCAGACAATGAATCGTTCTTACCCAGGTAAGCTTGACCCACTCCACGGAATCACACCCTCACTCAGCCAGCCATCAACCACCCATGGTCTCAGCATCAGCATCTTATTGGTTTTTCATGAATGACTAAGAAGTAACCTTACAGACTACTTACACTGTTTATTTCACTATAACATTGCCTCTGTAGAAAACATGTTGAAAGCATGCAGCCATAGAAGACGTGTCCAGACACCTGTGGTGCCATCATTTACCAGTCACTCTACAGATTGTCCTGCATATGATCTAGCAGGCGGTGCTGCTCCCAGTGGTTTGGCAGCAGTTTCACATGCAGCACAAGAAGCTAGAGACAAACCTAAGGCTAGGAAACCAACCCCCAGTGCAGGGGCCACTTACTACTGTAATGCCTTAAACCTTCCTATGCCAACAGGTAACTATGGCAGTATCAGTTGGCAAATACTGTATTATGGAACAGGGAAATATGTTTTACTGCAGGTTTTTAGATTTACTGTTTGACTCCACAGGTATATACAGTAACATTGTTTTTTACGTAGTGCACTGGAGTATTTGTGTATTCTGAAATCAGAGTGTAATGTCTATATGCCAGGTGGTTCTGGAGGATTTAATTACAGTGCTGTCTCTGGTTCTCCCTTCACCCGGTTGCCTTGTGACAGTTTTACATCCAGCCTTTTACAAGTCGACTTGGACAGGTACCCCTGTTTTATTCATTTTTTTAACAGATTCCTTTGTGTGTTTGTGTGTGTGTGTGTGTGTGTGTGTGTGTGTGTGTGTGTGTGTGGGGGAGAACATGTTGGTTTAGCTGAAAGTTGCTGTAAACTGGTCATATGACTAACATGTAATGTGTCACAGCAGTTCACTGTCTTCACTTGCAGTGTCATTTGTGTTCTTATTCTTTTCAAATGTCATTACGTTTATGAACTCAGTCTGGCATTCCCAGTATTTGCAGTTTGAATACTTAATTTATTGCTGAAATCATATTATTATTACAATAAGTCTTTAGACAAAATGGCAGATGCTTCAGGTCGCCACCAGGGAGCAGCAAAGTCTCTTAAAAGACCCACTTCTTGTCTCCAAGATCAGTGTTTAAAAACTACTTCACTGAGCAGAAATAAGTCTGTTAATAAGGAAGGTAGAAATACTAAATTGGTCATTTGCATCATTATTCTGAATGTCTGAAATTAAGTACCAAATTGTATAAACCTAATATATAAAGCCTAAATCTCACAAACTGTTTTTTTTCTCAATTATTCAGGCGCTGTCTGGAGGAATGTCCTCAGCTGGGTGTTAGGGATGAATTACAACTTCTCAGCCTCCAGCACAATCTCATCACAAGGATCCAGCATTTGTCACATCTGCAACATCTTGTCTTCCTGAACTTGTATAACAATCACGTCTCTGAAATGACTGGCATTGAAGCTCTAAGCTCTCTCAGGATCCTAATGCTAGGGAAGAACAGGTTAGTTGTCAGCAGTGGATTCCCAAACAAACAAACAAGAATATGTCAGGTCTGGCAGGTTTGGATCTGTTACACATACTGGAAAATACTGCGGTAGTACAGTGCAGTTCATATTATCATATGACAAAAACAGCAGAGTAGATGATAGTGTATAGATGTGAAATGACTTGTTCTTTAATGCTGATGTTTTTTAAATCTAAGATCTTTAACATTTAACATTTTAAATTGATCTCAGGTTTAATGTGAAATGCAGCATTTCTTAAAATTCTGAGGGGTTTCACTAAATCCTGATGTAGTGCAGGTGAATAAAGATTTCCTGTTGCTTTAGTGTAATGTATCATACACTTTATATGCTAGCTACTGTTACATGCTTCAGAGATGAGTGTTTCTACCAGGGGCCTGGTTTAATTCAGAAGCACTACTGATTTCTATTTGCATATTGAAGAGACTACAGGCTTTTATCTTGAACTGTAATATGATCTAAATATGCATAGTAAGTCACTGTACAATATTGCATGTTCAGTTTATGGCCCCCCAGGGGGCTGCACCTAGTACAATCAGGAAGACTAAAATGTGTTTGTTGACATTTTTTGTTGACATGTATTTGACAAATTGTATTTCATATACATTTTATATCATATTTTGCATGTATACATATATATGTCATGTCACCTGTCTTTGATACTTTTCAGAATCCATAAGATATGCAGCCTGGGATGCCTGTCCAAACTGAATATCTTGGATTTGCATGACAATCAGGTACAGTTACTTTACCACCCTGACTCTTATAGCATGTGTGCTTTTAGTCTTGTTTGTTAAGTTGCCCATAGTATACTGTACTTGGAGATCATAATGTTTAGCTGTAGTGTTCTGTAGAAGTGGTTTGTCTCTTCCACCTCCTTCACACTGTTGATAACTAGCGGTTTGCTCTGTGAAATGCAGCTCTATAAATGGTGAATGAGTCAAATGATCATGACAGCAGAGACCCAGGCAGGCAAGAGAATGTGCTTATGCTCATTCTAAACACTTTATTTTAGTCCACTGACCTATAAAATTGTCTATTCAGTCATTATAGTCAAATTCTCCTCTTGTTACTGTCAAATCATACTTTAAATGGTGCAGCTCAATTTTGTAGTTTGGATGTCATAAACAATCTTATTAACAAATTGGACAAATAGGATTCCTTCTCCTTTTGGTATTGCGATTTTTTTTTAAAGTCTGAAATATAATTGTAGCAATCTCAGATTTTAGGGGCTTATCTACATTTGTTTTAATTCAGCGCTCTCGCCGCTGCAGCCCGGGTTCGACTCAGAGTTGTGTCAGGAAGGGCAACTGGCATAAAACATCTGCCAAATTTCAACACACAAATCCTCAGTGCGACGATTCGCTGTGGTGACCCCTAATGGGAATAACCGAAAGTGACAGACAGATCTACATTTGTTTTAATTCACAGTACTGTTATAGAACAAAGGATTGAAAACCGTCAGAATTTACAAGCAAGGTCTACTCCCAAATCCATTTGTTCTGTGGCCTCAGCATAATTTTTTCAACATGCACAGTTCTTTCAATGTTTTTATAATTGGCAGCGGTTTGAGCTGCAGCAGATATACTGTTTTGCAATTAATCTGAATCTGAGTCACTAATATTAAAAATCTGAGAAATCAAATGATGTAAGTATCACGAGCGTGAGATGAGTATTGTGGCAGTTCCTGGAAGATAGAATAGAAAGGCTTCCCTTGGTCAAATTAGTGTTTTGCCAGCATGCCGCCTACACCCCTCCTCAGAGAGCTACTCCAGAGCCCTGGTAAAACTTTCCCCTTTTCTGATGTTGGCTGCTTTTTACATGAGCAGACATTCCAATTACTGTTCAGTGACTGCTACAGTATGTTGTTTTCCCTGACAGTGAATGCTGTGTTACCTTAGGGGCTCTCTGTTTCTAAATCTCTGCTTTGCTTTAGAATGAATTAATAAATAAAATTTTCTGTACCGTCCTTGTTGGTACTGAGACATTGCTTTCCTAGGCAGCCATTTGTTGGCAGCCACTTGTTGGCGAACATATGATAAATCTATTATTCCATCAATAACAGGTTGCTTTTCACTCCCTGAATTCAGAATCTCCTGTTCTGTGCATTTAAATAACTGTCCTATCACCTTTATTCCACCTTTTACAATCTCACCAAATGTAACGTGAAGTGCTGCACAGTGACAGTACACGAAGTGAATGAATTCAGTGAAAGAAATAATGGATGAGTGAATTAAAATAATGCTGAAGTCATGGTTACTCCAGTCAGGTTGTTCCCTAGCCACACAGGAGAACACTAGCTGCTTGTCCTCTTTCCTTCTGTGTGCATGCTTTCACCACAAGCCTTAGTTCACTGTCGTCCTTTCTTTCTTCTATCCTCTCACAGGGAGCCTCACATCACTCCAAGCTTATCCTTTTACCCATTTAGTTCTATAGCATGATGTTGTTTCATTTCCAGATGGCTGGAACTATTCAAAAGGAGATTTTCTCTGTGGCAGTGTGCCTGCTAGTGGTTAAGGCGCAACGCTCTCGCCGCTGCGGCCCGGGATCGAGTGAGGGTTGTATCAGAAAGGGCATCTGGCGTAAAAACACGTGCCAAATGTCAACATGATCATGACTGTTGTCAGTGTGACAGTTCGCTGTCGTGACCCCTAAACGGGAAAAAGCCGAAAGTGACTTTTTCTTAGTGTACCTCCAACCCACACTCAGTCTCAGTGACTCAGTGGTGGGGTTTGACTTTAATACTTCCATGAGATAGTGGCGAATGCCCTGCAGGGCCTGTAAAATAAAAACAAAGTATCATCCGGTTAGAGAAGTTGGTTGAGCCCATGCCCATTGTATAAAAAATATCCCCCTTAAAAATCAAGATGTTGATGTTGATTAAGTTGGACTGAATTAGTCATGCCTGGTAGGCAGATAACTAAGCTGGATCAGGGACTCCCCACAAGAAGGCTCTAAACTTTATAGGTGTCATTAATGACACCTATAACTTATAACTGTACTTCCTCTGGCAATACATACTATTATATGAAGTGTTTAAGATGCATTTACATTACTGTTTACAAGGAACATGCTCAGAACTGATGTTAATCTCTCCCATTCTTGGCTTAACCACTGCTTTCAACTCTTTAGACAAGAGCAGGCCCCTGTTCTGCCTGACAAACAGTATATATATTTTTTATTTTTAACATTTTAAAGAACATTCTATTAGCACGTAACAAATATCCTAGACACTACTGAATCCTTGTAGGCTCTCATTTCCCTTTGCCACTTAAATATCTCAAGCATTTAGTAAAATGAGATCTTCCTAGTGTAGCACAGGTCAAGAATTTATCATGACCTAACTACCATGCCACATTCTGGATGTATGAACTACACCACTGGAAAACAACTAATGGTATAACACAAGATCTTCTAATACTTTCACATGATGTAATCCAAAGTCTACTTCAGTGTATGTAAGGATATGCCACTTTACATGCATATTCACTTTGATATTTGAACCAGAATCCTTCCTTTCAGAAGCCTGCGTCTCATACTTTTGAGTTACCATTACCTGTAAGTGTGCCATGATTGTGTGCTGACTGAGGGTATTCGTACTACTCTGACCATATCTATTGTAAAGGCTTTTGAATGTAGCATGATGATCTCACTCTGCTTTGTCCGTCACCAGATACAGCATTGTGGTGTTAGGAGCAAACTTGTAGACTGGGTTTATCATAATGTACTTTTGACTACAGTATCCTGCCATTTCCTGTGTATATGTACACACATTGTCAGTACAGTGACCACAGACAGTTAAAGCTTTTATCTGCACTGTTTTCTATAATAAACTGATAGTAGTCTGTGTGTATCATACAACACACAACTGAGACATTTACTGAATTTGAGACATTCTTATTTTGCCTTGGAGAAACACCGATTACATCTATCTTCTATCTTTCTTTTATAAGTAGAAGAAAATGGATGGATGGACAGATGGATGGCATCTATCTTAGTTGACAATTGCCAAAATTTCTGTTTAAATCAGAGCTACTCTGGACTGTAAATAACCCACTTAAACCCATGTTGTAACTGAATTTACACGTGAAAGTCACTGTACTAGTCACATAGTTGTATATACAGTATTGTTCAAAATAATAGCAGTACAATGTGACTAACCAGAATAATCCAGGTTTTTAGTATATTTTTTATTGCTACATGGCAAACAAGTTACCAGTAGGTGCAATAGATTCAAACAAGACCCAGCATTCATGATACACACGCTCTTAAGGCTGTGCAATTGGGGAATTAGTTGAAAGGGGTCTTGACTTAGTGAATACAATTTTTAGTTAACAGAAAGCCTGCATTATGAACTACAAAAGGCCTGACATTTGAAAGATATGTGTGTTTACCAGGCAAGGAGGAGAATATCTTTATTAATATTACCTAAAGTCTGTATACCATGACACCACTGAACACAAACATACTGTTAAACCCATCTTGCTTGTTATTTTTATGCTTCAAATTTTAAGTACACTTCATTACTTTATTCTTAGATCAATTTCTGTTCAGTTTGATTTGCTTACATTTGTCCTGCAGTGATCCTTGAGTGTTGTATTTTGAAAGAGTCCTTAAACCACAGATGCTCTTTTAACCTTACTCTCACATGTATAGCGTGCACTACGGGTGACATTATGACAGGGCCCTTATGTATGTAATCTCTGTCAGAGAGAGAGGGGAATAGGCAGGCTAAGATTTCACTGCTGACTGACCCTAACTACTTATTTGTTATGATCTGGGAGGTCAAAGAGGATTCAGGACTTGATGTAACTGACTGAATATCAGTCATTCAAGACGTTCACAAGTGATACAGATTGTCAAATGAAGGTACTGGTAGCATAATTTCTGTTGTAGTGTCAGCAGAAGGCTTATCCTCAGACATTGCAAAGAAAATGGAGCATGCTGCATTTTGGGTTCTTTCATCCCAAAAACATTTAGCTCTGTGCAGGTTAAAGAATTCTGTATAGATTTTATCTGATGACCTTTAAATACATGACATGCATGTGTGATTGATCACTAACTGTGTACAGTTCAAGTGTTTTATGATGTGCTAGTCTTGCCTGGTTGTTTGGCATAGTTGTGTTATGCACTATCTTTGTGCTTTCTTACTGTGCTTTTATCCAGATCAGGAGGATAGAAAACATCTCTCACCTGAGTGAACTGCAAGTGTTGAACCTAGCAGGAAACAGCATCTCCAGAGTAGAAAACCTGCAGGGCCTGGACTCTCTGACTGAGCTCAGCCTAAGGCACAACTGCATCTCTGTTGTGGTGAGCGGCAACTCTGAATGCTTCCTATGCTCCATAGTCATACAAAGGAAAAGGTACCACCTGTTCAGTAAACACAATGCCATTTTTAGCCAAGCTTGAAGTTTCTCCATTTTGTCTCTGTGGGGCTTCTGTTTTTTTCCATTGTAAGTGCAAGTAGGCATCAGAATCTTTATAGTGCTGAAATCAGGAGAGCGACCCGGAGACAGAGACTCAAGCGAGCCAAGCTCGGGGGACTCCATGCTAGGCTAAAAGCTTGCGCTACTCGACCGCCATTACCCAGCCTCTTCCTAGCTAACGTAGAGTCTCTGGAAAACAAACTGGACGAGCTAAGGGCTAGGATTACAGCACAACGGGAAATCAGAGAATGCTGTGCTCTAATTCTCACCGAGACTTGGCTTTTTGACAGAGTCCCAGATTCCGCGATTCAGCTACAAACACATTCTGTACATCGAGGAGACCGCACTGCTGCTTTGGGGAAAGTAAAAAGAGGTGGTGTGTGTGTGTGTTTATCAATAACTCCTGGTGTGGAGATGTTTGGACTGTTTATAAGCACTGTTTGCCAGAAGTGGAGTTTTTATTGCTGAAATGCCGGCCCTATTATCTAGCAAGAGAGCACAGTGCTGTGTTTCTGGCTGCTGTGTATGTTAGTCTAAGAGCTAATCCCTCTGTGGCTCTCAGCAAACTCTATGATGTCATCAGCGCGCTAGAGAGCGCGCACCCCGATGCTGTATTTATCACTGCAGGTGACTTTAACCAGTGCAATTTATGGACTTTACCTCCGTGTGAACATTCCCACCCGGGGCAAGAACACTCTGGATCATGTTTACAGTAACATTCTGTAAACCACCTTGGACGCTCGGACCACATTTCTTTGTTCCCGTATCCAGCTTACAGACAAAGACTGTTTAGTTACAAAGACTGTCACTAAACAAATTAAACTCTGGATCCCAGAGACTGAAGGCACCCTGCAGGATTGTTTTGCCGAAACAGACTGGGATGTGTTTAAAGCTGCAGCCACCTCGGAGGAATTTTCTGTCAGCGTACAGGATTATGCTGAGTATGTGACTGGATACATTAGTATCTGTATCGACAACATTGTGCCCACCATACAAGTCAGGAGGTTTCCCAACCAGAAGCTCCAGATAAACAGTCAGGTACGCCACATGCTGCGTGCTTGCTCTCATGCATTCAGGACCACCATCAGCATCGTCAGCTCCACAGACAGCCTGCTGGATGACCTCAACACCTTCTACACCCCCTTTGAGACCTCCAGCCACAGCACAGAGAGGAGGCACACATACACCACCCAACCCCCACCTCTCCTCCACTAACTGTCTCACCGGGCCAGGTATGCACAGTCCTGAGGAAGATCAACCCCCGCAATGCAGCAGGACCAGACAACATCCCTGGGAGGGCTCTCAGGGCATGTGCCAGCATGTTGGCTGATGTTCTCACCACCATCATCAATCTCTCCCTCAGCCAGAGCATCGTCCCCACCTGCTTTAAGACCACAACCACCGTCCTCCTTCCCAAGAAGAGCCGGACACCTGCCTGAACGACTACAGTCCAGTGGCACTCACCCTATTACTATGAAGTGCTTTGAGAGAGTGGTGCTGGCCCACATTCAGAGCAGTATACCGGACCCCCTGGACCCCCTGGACCCCCTGCAGTATGCCTACCGGCCCAACAGGGCCACCTCAGACGCCATCGTGGCTGCCCTCCACTATTCCCTTTCTCACCTGGAAAATGGAGACTCCTACATCAGGATACTCTTCATTGACTACAGCTCCA